GCGCGCGCGCGCCACTCTCTCTCTCTCTCTCTCTCTCTCTCTCTCTCTCTCGTTTAGATTTTCGTAGAGAATTTTACAAATAATAATGTTTCTCATTTTCGCACATGTAACAATACACATTGCAAAGTTATATTTGTGGCAATACTTAATCAAGAATTCGGATTGTCGAGTATCTCGAAGGTGAAAAAATCTTGTAAAATGAAATCGTTCGACGGCAGCATTCTCGTGTAGCGATGATAAGACATCGCGTATTATAATCCTTAATTTCAATGCGGGAGAAAAATGATTAAGAGAAAGCAATTAGACAAAATAAAATCACACATTCAACAAGATTCAACAACAGAATCGAATTTAATAACAAAATATGAATGACGTATTTGTGACGTAATAAAATTAATTGTATAATCGTAAACGGTAATAATAAAACAATATCAATGATCGTATTATTAACGCTACAAATGACTATAAGAATTATAAATGTATCTAAACAATGGGCTATAGCAATTGTAGTAGAAACGTACAAAGAGATCGCACGTTTACAAGCTGTTGTCTGTGGTATTATAAGAGGACGCAGATAATTAATTGTAATTTAATGATCGTTACATCGACGATCTCTTTTATCCCGATTATTCTCTTTCCAGCAAGCACCGCTTTCATTCAAGTTTTATTAAACGCTCCTATTATAAGAACTTTCGTTGAATATAAATCTCTGTACTTTATCGTAATCGTTACGACCGTAATGTATACGTAATGTAAACGTTCATAGAATACACACTATTTTGCTCAATGAACTATTATCAATGTTTACAGGATCGTTGATAAGCGCAGGAAGAAGGCTGATACAATCAGAGTATGCAGTATATCGAGGATACAATTGAGAGTCTCAGATCAAGATATCTCGCTTCTTATAATTATATATCCCATACAATTTGCGAAGCCGATTTCGAAAAGCAATTTCGATTTCATCAATTCAGTTTCGTACAACTGTCGCTAAGACCCGGAATCTTTAAAAGATATATAACCAGAGGACAAATTGTTATACACGAAAATCTTTATTTCGAACTATATATATATATATATATATATATATATATATATATATATATATATAGTATACTACTACTACTATTACTT